GACACTAGGTTGATAACTGTAATTGATTATTTGATAAACATATTCACATTTAGTTGTGTGATATGTCACAGAGGTAAAGCTAATTCATAACAACTAATTGTCCCATTTATTTGGTTTCTATCTTTTATATGAAACAAATGCTATAACATGGGGTGATAAACTTCATTGGCAATAGACGTAGCATATAATTGTCCACATGAACAGTCTACTCTGTTCCAGATATGTTTATTCATTTCGTCAGCATTTAAATCGTTGCTTTCCTGGCTAGATGATTCATTTGACGAAATCTTGTTCCCTGTTTTGAATTACCGTCAGATAGTTCCAGAACAATTATAAAATTTTCAGCCCTATGTGTTGCGCATAATTCCGAGATAATTCGAAGTTCATATTCTTGTACGAACACTTATCAAAATTCATTTATACCTAGTACTATTATGTACATATGTATATTAGTTCAAATTATAATAATGAGGCCCTCTATATTCTCGAAACGGTCTTTGTTCTACGACAACCGTAAGGCGGTATGGGAAAACAAAATATTTGTTTAATTGTTCAAAGTACAAAGTCAATGTCATATGATTATAGACAAGGAAGATAAGAAATTAAATATAAAGAGTAGCCACTTTAAATGACAGAATTTCTTTTAGTTAAATTTGCTCATGATATGGTCTTTTCGTGGTACATAGTGCCAAAATACTCTTAATTATTTACTTTCATGTCATTACTTAACTCACATAAGGTCAAAAGTTGTACAACTTTTAACAGATATGATTATGACATGTTGTATCCAAACATTTCCAAACATTTCCAAACAAATCCAAACAAATCCAAGCTTGGAAATATGACCTTTCCAAATATTGGAATGGTCATATTTCCAATTGGAATGGTGGTATTTCCAAGTTTGGGATTTTTTGGAATGGATGATATTTTGTCCAGTGACAGTTACTGTACTAATCTTGTCTTGTATCTTACAGACTATTTGTTTATAGAGGGTGTCGGTAGGTAACAGAGGCTAATAATAAAAATCTCAGCCTCCATCTGCTTGAAAAAATATTAGGCTTCAACAAATATAGCTATGCTCATCAATACGGAGTAGTTCGTGAGCAAATGCATAATCGTTGACATTGAGACATGAGCATTAGATGGTATGGCTTTCACACTTTATTATTATTTATTGATAATAATTTCAGGAAGCCATATCATGCAAGTAATTTATTTTGATAAAAATACAAGCAAAAGGAAGGTTACCAATCAACATTGTTTGTTCTTTAAAACAGAACAGGAACAATGTCAAGGAAGAGGCTTGTCTTGTCCAAAGACATGGATTATCACCATCATTACAATTTATACCATAAATGATTACAAGAATGAAGGTATTGTGTCCACAGTATGAAGGCTGGCGTCAGTTGTTCAGTAATAGATCAGCTATCAAGGCTGAAATCAGCACAAGAAACTCCCTTTAATCATTCAGAATGTCATATGTTTAAGTCAATATTATGTATTATCAGTGCTCGCCTCAACTCGACGACAGGCAGAAGATGTGAGAAGTCTCGTGACAAGAAATGAGATTCGACTCCTGATCTCTGTCATAGGGCGACCTGGTTGTGCTCTAATTCTACAGTCAAGAGGATCCCATATGTGTTGTATCGGTGATGAGTCGGGTGAATTTGTTGGCCAAGACATTTATGGGCTTTTGTGTTTTCTTGCTGAAACAAGTTCAGGGGATTCTGTTGCAAGTACGGTGGAGTTGAGGAATGATCAGTGTAACACTGTTCAATGTTGTGTCCTTCCAAACTCGCCAGATCTGTCTTCGCTTGGCTACAAATGCGCCTTGAGTTGGTGTTGTAAACATTGGTATTTTACCGTATAAAATGCTTTATTATAATGGTTCTTTTCATTGTTCTCTTTTAAAATCACCTACATCTGCACAGTTGTCATGTTTTTAATGAACAGTCAGAAAATTATAACCTTCTTTCCATAGGTTGAATTTCAAATGACACGTAAATAGAAATATCATCTTTCTTTTATTAGGAAAAAGTCTCAGTAAACAGCAAACAGTAAGATTTTTTTAAGATTCTGTTCATTGGTAAATATTCATCTCAGCTCTGTTTTATGAAGACAAAGAAAATCTCAGCCTCTAAAATGAATAACAAAATATGACTCTACCCATAAGAAACCGAAATGCTATGACAATAACCAACTTGAAACTCGAAATTACAATCTATCTTCACTCAGGAATTAATGTCATAGATGCCGAGTGAAAGATAAACCAACGTAACTGTTACCAAGTGAACATTTCATGTCACATCGGATTGTATAAAACAGCTTGCTATTACCGTTCAAATGTGGTGTATGTATATCACTTACACGTATACAAAAACAACATGCAAAATGAAAGAAACGTGATGTTACATTTATTCATGGACGTTAACAAATGCAATTTCATGAGTCGAGAACGAGACTGTCACTACAAGTGGGTCACACGTCGTGAGAACGTAACGGTGCAGCGGCTCAGTGAGCCAGTCAAGTTTTCGAACGTAAGCAAGTTGATGCCAGACATGCGTAACGCTATATGATTGATGGATTGAGGGATAAGGAATATTTACCAACTTCCAGTTATTTTTTTGGAACCAGAATCAAGAATTATGTGACGTCTCATTTTATACCAGCAATTGATGTTAGGCTGAAATAACAAACGAAGTTACAGAACACTTAACACCCTCTATCCGACTATTGCATTTATTACTTTTCAAATATATACAACTATAAATAGTAGGTTCAATCCCAGAACATCAACAGAGGGAATGCAGCAAGTGTGTCACGGATGTGTATGCAGATCAACAGTGTGGCCAACTGCTGCCAGATGACCTGGGTTCTGTCCAATAAGCCACCGTAGCACTACTACAGGTGTGGGTCTATGTTAGAAGTTAAGATAAGATCCAATATGGTCCCTTTGGGGAACAGACCCAAGAGATCCAAACCCCACAATGAGTTTACGAAACAGATCTCTCATGTCTCCGCTTACACAACGCCTGGGCGGTCGGGTAGCCTAGTGGTTAAAGCGGTCGCTCGTCACGCCGAAGACCCGGTGTAAGGTGCCAAAATCAACCCCCCTTCAGAGTATACCCGGGTAGATTCTTGGAGCTCCCAGAATCTACCCCGGGGTAGATTTTGGAGACTTCCCAGAATCTACCCCCCTTTTTCAGAATCTACCCCCAGGGGGGTATAATCTGGGAGCTCCCAGAATCTACCCCGGGGTATAATCTGGGAGCTCCTCCCAGAATCTACCCCGGGTTATAGCTATAATCTAGGATCTCCAAGAATCTACTGCAGCCCTGTTTGATTTAAGCATTTTTATTTCATGAATGTACTTGAAGTTTTCTTTTGGGGGATGCATCTAACTCAGTCTTGATCTCTCCTTGTCAATTGCTGTAAAAACATTGTCATCTGATTAAGTTTACATAAATGCCTATTCAGTACACATCTAATTAGTTTTAAAACATTCATATCCCAGAATCTACCCCCAGGGAGTACAATCTGGGAGTTCCCAAAATCTATCCTGGTGTAGATAATACCGGTAATAAATTGTTGTCAAATCCAAAAATTCAAAATGTTGTTTTATACATGCAAAGAAGAAATAAATATAGTTTAAACTAATAAAAAATATCTTACAAATCACATTGACTTTAACTCATTGTAGTCATCATCAATTTGTAAGTTCGAAAGTTGGTGTTGAGAATTGTGTGAGGAAATGTCTTACACTTATGTTATTGAATAAGCTTTAATATGCTTTGTGAATAGACCTACCTACTTTTGATTGCATATAAAATCATTTTGAAACCAATTATAAGTATGCACTTGTGTCTGTAAGTACCTTTATTTGGGGAGGTATGTATCACAGTATCAAGAATATATTCTGACTATAGAAGACATCACATCATTAAAACCATCTAATTATTTGTCCATTTACATTCTAATTCTTCTAAATATAGTCAGATGGGTGTAATAAATTTCACGAAGCAATTGTCATTGTCTTAGTCAGAGTTTCATATTATTATCAATAACAAATAGAGAAAACTAACATAAAATATGAGAGCAATTTATTCTGAAAACCAATATCCATTGATTCCTTGAATTATTTCAATGTCACTGGACATTTATTACAACGTCAAAGTGTTCATGGAGGTTGGTCAGATACACTGCACCAATGGACAGTTTCTCAAGCGTGAATGATGCTGGGTAGCATAGTCATTTCAGCTCCTTTCCATAATGGGTATAGACAACAATGTCAGTTTGCAGAAGAGAAGCAGTGGCCATAATCTCTGCATCCGTTGCCCAGACACCATTTTCAGCCATTCTTGACGAATTTAAGTATTTCGTCACATTCTGCTGAAGGTAGTTTTCCAGCTTTTCCCCTTTCTCACTCATGTGTTGTACAACAGCATCTCTCAGGCGTAAGTGGGACGTCTCCTGACCACTTAGAAAATAACTAATAGCACGGAAGAAGCAGTTGCCATCACCCTTGGTCTTGTGTTGTCTTTTTGGTGCCTCAAATTCTTTCTCTCTTCCAAAATAAACAGACTTAAATGAAGGTAAATGTAACTGTTTAGAAAGTTCTCTTCTTCTTTGAATGGTCATTGGCTAGAAGCTGTAATGTGGCCTCTCGGGGGTGTTGCTGGTTGTGGTGCTAGGGTTCTTGGACTTGATTGGACTGGTACAGCTGGTAGAACTCATAAACCTGGTGTGGTGTTGTACAGTAGGGCTGACAGAGCGTTTTGAACTGGTGTGGCTGGTGCGACAGCTAGGACTGGTTGAACTGGTAGTCTTGGTAGATCTGGTGGTAGGCCTGGTGTAGCTGGAGCGACTAGCAGGACTGGTATGGTTGGTGGGGAAGACGTCATGTGTCTTTTCAAATTTGATCCATGGTATGCGTTGTGAAGCACTTGGCCACTCTTCAAACTCTTCAACTTAACACGTCCCTTGCCAAGCACTTGATGAACTTAATATGGTCCAAGGAACCTTGGCTCAAGCTTAGCTCCAATTCTGTTGATTCGACGTGAATTCTTCAGGTAGACGCTTGTCCCTAGCTCCAACTCATGATGACTGTTGGTGAGCTTGTCATGTTGTTCCTTCTGAATCTTCTTGGCCTTTGTAATATTGTTGCTGACTTTTGATGTGATGTTTTGTCGCAGGTTCTGCCTGATCACATCTTCTTTTGGCTTTGGAGAGTCCTTAATGTCCATCTGTAGTTTTGCCTTTCTGATGTACATGCATTCAAATGGTGTCATCTTGGTTGATGCATGTACAGATGTATGGTGGGCAAACAGATCTCCAGGTATAAAAACATCCCAGTTGTCTCCACGGTCGTTGACAAGCTTTGAGAGGGCATTCTTAAGGGTCCTGTTGTCTCGCTCTCGTTGTCCATTGGTCTGAGGATGGTATGGTGAACTGACTCTGTGCTCAGTTCCCAGCTTGGTCATAAGATTGTCAATTATAGTGTTGATGAAGTCTGCACACGGTCTTGTACAGGAGTTCAGCCACAGAATCTGCAGACTTATCAGGATACGCATCTGTACAATCATGTACATTTATCATCTAACACGTGATATTTCTTTAATTATAATGTATACTGTTTGGAAAAACTGGTGCTCCCACCTTTGTGTTCTTAATATAAATAACAGGAAATGCATGTTTTAAAACTAATTAGATGTGTATTGAATGGGCATTTATGTAAACTTAATCAGATGACAATGTTTTTACAGCAATTGACCAGGAGAGATCAAGACTGAGTTAGATGCATCCCCCAAAAGAACTCCCAGAGTATACCCCCGGGGGTTGATTCTGGGAAAGGGGGGTAGATTCTGGGAGCTCCCAAAATCAAACCCCGGGGTAGATTCTGGAAGGCCCCAGAATCTACCCGGGTATACTTTGAAGGGGGGGTATACTTTCAGACTTAACACCGGGTTCGATTCCCGACATGGGCACAATGTGTGAAGCCCATTTCTGGTGTCCCCCACTTAAAGCGGCGTAAAACCATACTGACTCACTACACAACGCCTGCAACTGACTACAATCTTACACACACTGGCAAGTGTCGCTTGGTGACATTTTGAAAGCAAAAAAATGAACAAGACAAACATTAATCAGCTAAATCCATGGTTAACATGACATGAAGTAGTTTACCCTTTTATCTCTTGCCATCACATACGGTGATTACCCAATACTTCCACCTACCATGCATCATCCATTACCTCTACAGGTGTACAGGTGAGTGGTGGCTGTTGTGGCTACATTACACTATGTGTGGAATGTGTACCTGCCCACATCTGACATACAATATATACTGGTAGTATTTGAGGTCAACACAAGGATTCCTCAAAAATCATATTAAATTTGAAGCAGTTTTTTTTGTAGAACGAAGCATGATCTGCTGCATGAAAGATTCCTATTAAATTGTTTGTTCTTTCTTCTTGTTTTATGTTTAATCAAGTCAACACAAGGATTTATCATAAATCATAACACATTTTGAGCAGATATTTTAGATGAACAAAGCATGATTTGCTGCATGATAATTTGCCTGCTCCATTAAGAGACACTCTTTGTTTAAAACATAAAAAAACAACACAACGTGGATAGTAGTGGGTTAAATAAGTCACATTTGATTATCCGTACATGGTATGGTTATCTCAAATCGCATGCCGCAAGAAACATGATGGAAATGCGTGTCTCCATAGAAAGTTGTTACAGTATAACCTCTGGCTCTAAACATTCCATAAGTACATTGTAGGGCATAGCTAACATGTAGAAACACAGCCGAAGTGTGCCGCAACTGATTTCGAGTTGAGGTGATTTCAGAAGCAAAGTTTAAACATACGTTTCCACAACCAAAGGGAGTATACTGCAGCCTAGGCATAACCGGGTTTTACTTCCCTTGTTGGTGGTAACTCTTACACTACTTGGGCCTTTACTGTATACAGAAGCTGGTTACATATATAAAACATCTTCTTAAAGTGCAAACATTGCACCTTATAATGATGGTCTTATTATTGATGTTAGTTAAAATGCTGCCACGTGGTATTGGACTAAAGTTTGTAACAAAGCTCAAGGGATTTCCTAGTCCGACGTCCGCGCCTTGTCGCCCCTCAAGTATATAAACCTAAAGCTACAAAGACATCATCATCAGCAGCAGCCTCTACAGCAGTAGCAGCCTCTAAGACCTATTCCCGAACGTTAGTTTGTATAGAAGCGTCGGTGCCTGACAAAAGTTCAAGGACCTAAGTGGTTGTCAAGCTGTGCACACCGAGGCTGCTTACGTAATGTGTGATTTGATCGGATTTCTGTTAATATACTGAACCGCAAAAGAAACGTCATCCCAAGTATAATTGCATGAAAAGATGTCATTTAAATATCTCGGTAATTTTTGTCAAAGTTTCTAAAATTTAACATTACCTTGTCCGGAAAAATGAAATTTGATGATGAAAAGAACAAAGCAGATGACAAGAAAATACAGCCATGGTAACCCGATGCACGTGAGTTCCGTGCAAATTGAAATGCAGATGCGTTCCCCCATTTCTTGCCCTATACAAATGCACCCAGATCGGATAACATTCATTCGTTATAGAATTGCTACCACGTGCCAAGATTGACAAGAAATCAGCGACACCAAGCCCTTGGACGATTGCAAGCTGGTCAAACCGCCCGGCAAGAGTAGCCAATGCATTTCAAGTCCATGTGAGGACCATATACAGGCTCCAGCAACGGTACCAGACCACCAACACTACAGATGACCGACCATATAGTGGAAGACCACAGGATCGTCAGATTGTGCGACAGCATCTTTAAGATCGCTTTGTAACTGCTGCGGAATCTGCTCGACAGACCATGGGGACACACCAGCGACACATTAGTGCGAACACCGTGCGTCAACGATGGACGATGAGACACCTCCACTGTCACAGGCCACACCGAGGACCCATTCTGACACCACGTCATCGCCGGAACACCTTCAGTGGGCAACACAGCACCAGCATTGGTGCCACCAGCAGTGGAGAAGAGTACTCTTCTTAGACGAGAGCCGTTACTGTATCTCAACAGCAGATGGCAGTGGGAGAGTCTGGCGACGCCATGGGGAACGTTATTCGGATGCTTGTGTTTTTGAGAGAGACTCGTGGGGTGGTCCGAGCATCGTGGTGTGGGTCGGAATTGGTCTTGCACAGAGGGTCGGCCCTGTGGTGTTCCAGAACATTGGTCTAGGGAGAGGCAATGGTGTCACAGCAGCTCGGTACATTGATCAAGTCTTGGGACCACACGGCATACCTCATTTGGCGCGTCGCCGCAACCACGAGTTTCAGCTTGATATCGCCCGTGTCCTCACTGCGAGAGCAACAATAGATTTCCTTCAACATAATGGCATCAGAACCATGCAGCTGCCTGCCCTCAGTCCCGATTTAAATCCCATTGAGCACCTGTGGGATGAGATTCAAAGACGGCTGAATGACCAAGGCCGATAACTGTACTGTCATATCTATCACATCAGATGCTTGAACGTCCTGTTTGTGGAACATTATTTTAGTGCATGTCAAGGTAGTGGAGAGTCCATAGTGTGTTGCAGTCAGATGCTTCTATACAGATGGGTTCCTGACAATGTTCCTCCGTGGCCTTTCTATGTAGCCAGCTATCAGCCTTAATGAAACTGTCACACATCAATTGAGTCGAAACTAGACTTGTTCCACGATTTGTTGTTTTACCTATAAAGTGAGGAATGGATGTAACGCCTTGTACTAATACCCGAAACCAGGCCACAACTCTGAAATCTCATTGATCTATATCACTCTCATGTCTGATTCTCCTCATCCAGGTGAGCTAGTACTCTCACACACATGCTGGTACAGGTGATGTTTCCCACTTTTGAACTGGTTGCACAGTTTGTAGTTTTACAGCTAAAATGCAAGCAACACTTGACGAATAGCGACCAGGAACCTGTTCCACAAAGCGATCTTAGTGCTAAGTTGGTCGTAACTCCCATACTTCATCATAGGCCTACGATCAACGTAGCACTAAGATCGCTTAGAGGAACATGGCCTTGGACACAACTCATTGTAATCTGATCGATGGATAACACTCTCAGGCTGAATGTAGAGATGTACCGAACACTGTACACGTAGACAGCACACACATAGTCAGGGTGGGCAATGTCTCATGATTGATGGCAACCATAGTCTCACTGTTGTATCAGCATTTAATGATATATGAAATAGATATTCAATATTTGTGGCGACAGTAAAGATATGGTAGGTATATATAAAGGTATATACATGCGTTAGTTACGACACGTTCTGTTCGTCTGCAATAACATAAACTGTTATTAACAAACACCACACGAAGAGACACCTGCGTGAGGAATTCTTATCAGACATAACGTCTATTTAAGTCAAATTAGTATGATTTTATGTAGTGGCTATGGTCAGTGGCGCCACTGTGTGAGTGGACATTACTCCGGCCTACTCCGGGTGGGAGCTGCAGTGGTCAACAGGCGGTGAGTAAGTGTGCAAGAAAGGCTTAGATGAGAGATCTGGACCATGTAGCTTCATTCTGATATATCACACTGCTTTCAACAGTGATCAAAATGAAGTTTGTAGGGTACAAGAGTGGTAATAAGAAACATTCAAATATTGGGCGTGTAAAGAGTACAGTCTTTGTATGAAACAATTGTATTTAAATGTGAATTATTTATTTGTAGGTGAAATGCTTGTTAGCAGTCATGTAAACCAAAGTATGAACATAGAACAGCCCCAAAGTTGGCGCGTTTATACTTGTCGCCGACTCTTGATACTAACTGCTATAGGTTGCTCGGGTAACCAGGTGCTCACTTACACTCCCAGTTCGATCTCATCAGTAATTGCATACTGGAGTTTGAGAAGAAACAGATGTTTGATACGGATATAATGGCCAAGTTGTAGGTAACTGTATTTCACCTCGGAAATATTGGCTGTGAATGTCTGCAATGCACTACCTTTATCTTTAATGGAGAATAATATCACCGCTACTCTACCTCTTATGTCAATGAAATCTGTTTAATCGAGACTGGTTGTTCTCTGGTGTTGACGTTTAATAGAGTTTATTTAACGGATTTCCTTAGTTTATATGTTAAACACAATGTAAAATATGGTCAACCACTTTGTGGGAAGTTTTTGGACCAATAGAAGAAAACGGTGAAGAATCATATTTAAACGAATACATCAGACTTGCGTTTATTGATATGTTGTTAATTTACTCATAGTTCCGAGTAACGGTTGAATTAGTGTTTTGAAGCATAATTGGTCATATATGTCTTCATTCCCAGTTTGTATGGTTGCTGATTCGGCCGTTAACTGATGAAGATACACAAGTTTGACATGGTGCTGCTGCGGTTCCTTCGACCACGTCGGCTGGTGAGACCGATGATGTTCGTGTGTGGTCTGTGTGTCGGGGTCATCTACTTGACGGCGTCCCAAGTGCCATGGCCCCACACTCCAACTCAGGGGCCCGGCCTGACGGCGAGGGTGGGGGAGAATGTGAGGCCGTCAACCAAAGACGTGTTTGACCAACACATGGGCGGTCTGCATCAACCCTTGAAGAACATTGGAAACTGGTCTAATGATCCAGATGACGTCATGTATCCTCAATTTGTTGCTGAAAGTCCCCCTCATGGAAGAGGTATGTTTTAATAGACCGTTGACATCTTAGACAGAAGCTGTTCTTTTATTTTACGAAAAAACACACATCTAGATTTCTTTAATGACAAACGTTTACAAGACTTCCAGTTCATCATGCATGTCATGTTTGGTGAAGGATTAATTAGAAAAATGCGCTAACGAACCTTTTCACTTTTATCACTGACGATATTCAGATATATATCACATGTATATCATGTATACTAGTAACTATGAAAACGAACCTTTTGTACTCGCTGTCTATACTCGCGGGCGTTTGCACTGACTCATTGTAATCTGTCTTTACTAGGTGAGTATGGGCTCCCAGTGACCGTCTTCCCAAACCACCTTTCAGCTAAAACAAACCAGTCGTTTGATGAAGGCCTCAAGAAAAACAACTTCAACCAGTTTGTTGGTGACATCGTTTCCGTGACCCGCCGACTTCCGGATCCAGGTCCACCACAGTAAGTGTTGCAGGTTGTGTTTCCAGGAACCCAGGAAACCAAGAAGTGTGCCACGGTTTCACGAGCAGTGGGGAATATATTGAAACAGGACCTCCACTGTGAATCAGCCCATAGCTTATACTCTGTTGCAGATGTCGGTCATTGAGTCATCAGAGCAGGCATAGGGCGAGTGTCATCATGTGTTTCCACAACGAGGCATGGTCTACCCTACTGCGCTCTGTGCACAGTATCATCAACCGCTCGCCACCACACCTCCTCCAGGAGATCATCCTCGTTGACGACGCCTCCGACCTAGGTACGTGTTACCGCGTTTAGCACTTCCATTAACACTGCCACGCACACCAAGGTACGTGCAAAACTGTCAACCGCTGCCAGTCAGAACTTGGAATGTGCAACCTCGTCTTCTACTGCTACTCAGAACTAGGTACGTGCAACCTCGCCTACCACTGTAATTCGAACACACTTTGTGTAAAGAATTAACGATCTAGACAGCTTGGCGCAGCTTGACGCAGCTTGAAGCAGATTTACATTAACCGTGTATCATATTTGTCCAGACCATCTTGGCGCAGCCCTGGAGAAGTACATGTCTGGGCTGAGCATAGTGAAGATACTGCGGACAGGTCAGCGTGAGGGGCTGACAAGAGCAAGGCTATTAGGCTACAAACACGCGACCGCCTCCGTCCTCGTCTTCCTCGACTCACACATCGAGTGTTTCCCAGGTAGGCTCGGATTGTTGCATCATCATAGTGGTTGTTGTAACCTGTCTCTGTATTTACATATGAAGGAAAGATACCATAATGCAAGATAACATGACAATCGTGAATGGTTTGGTATCTCTTGTAAGGTTGGCTCGAACCCCTGCTGGACCGGATTGCTGAGAACCCTCATGCCGTCCCATATCCAAAAATAGAGTCTATCAAGCCGGACACGTTGTCTGTCGAGCCCCATGTTCCCCTCAGCGTTGGAACATTCTCCTGGGCAAATCTCATCTTCAGATGGATAGGCATCCATGAACTGCGCACCAAACCCGCCCGTTCCCAAACTGCACCCATCAAGTAGGTCAACATGGCTACAGTCATTACTAACATGGTTCGATGTGTCTTTGTTACAGGATGTTCAGAGGGTTCCAACCAAAACTTGTGTCCGTGTGTATTTTCAGATCCGCCACAATGCCTGGTGGGCTGTTCGCGATATCCCGGGCCTATTTCACTCTGCTGGGAGCCTACGACCCAGGGCTGGACTATTGGGGAGGGGAGAACATCGAACTGTCTTTCAAGGTTTGGCTGAAGGAGTACCCATCAGTTATGGGTAACGGTTAAAAGAAATGTTGACCTAAATACATGCAGGTGTGATTTCAAATCACTTTAGTCCAACGTGGTAAATTCTCCATAGTATGCATGCATACTGTAAAGACGAGCTCACATCACCCTTAATATCACAGTTCACAAGATCACATAGATGGCAATAACTCTGTAGTAGAGCTGTGTCACATACAATAAATGTTTCAACAAGTTAGCCAGAGGCTGCATCCATTGCGTCATGTATGTTCTTGCTCTCTGTCTGTGGTGCAGGTGTGGATGTGTAACGGTAGCGTGGAGCTGCTGCCCTGCTCACATGTCGGTCACATCTTCCACCACAACAACCCCATCCACTGGCCCACCCCCGGCAGTGTAAGGAGGAACGCTGCTCGCGTAGCCGAGGTGTGGATGGATGACTACAAGAGTTTCTTCTATGAGACTACTGGATCTGACAAGGTAAGTGACAGGTAGAAATACTGAGAAGGGTGATGGTTAGATAAGTGAGGTTCAGTGGAAATACTGCGAAGATCAATTGCAGGTGGAAATACCAATGTCAGTGACAGGTAGAAATACCGAGAATGTCAGTGACATGTAGAAATACCGAGAAAGTCAGTGACAGGTAGAAATACTGAGAAGGTTGGTGACAGGTAGAAATACCGAGAAGGTCAGTGACAGGTAGAAATACTGAGAAGGTTGGTGACAGGTAGAAATACTGAGAAGGTTGGGGACAGGTAGAAATACTGAGAAGGTTGGTAATAGGTAGAAATACCCGAGAATGTCAGTGAGAGGTAGAAATACCCGAGAATGTCAGTGACAGGTAGAAATACCGAGAATGTCGCTGACAGGTTGAAATCCTGAGAATGTAAGTGACAGGTAGAAATACCGAGAATGTCAGTGACAGGTAGAAATACCGAGAATGTCAGTGACAGGTAGAAATACCGAGAATGTAAGTGACAGGTAGAAATACCGAGAATGTAAGTGACAGGGAGAAATACTGAGAAGGTTGGTGACAGGTAGAAATACCGAGAATGTGACTGACAGATAGAAATATCGAGAATGTAAGTGACAGGTAGAAATACCGAGAATGTAAGCGACGGGTAGAAATACCGAGAATGTAATTGACAGGTAGAAATACCGAGAATGTCAGTGACAGGTAGAAATACCGAGAATGTCAGTGACAGGTAGAAATACCGAGAATGTAAGTGACAGGTAGAAATACCGAGAATGTAAGTGACAGGTAGAAATACCGAGAATGTCAGTGACAGGTAGAAATACCGAGAATGTCAGTCACATGTAGAAATACCGAGAATGTCAGTGACAGGTAGAAATACCGAGAAGGTCACTGGCAGGATTAAATACTGAGAATGTAAGTGACAGGTAGAAATATCGAGAATGTCACTGACAGGTTTAAATACTGAGAATGTAAGTGACAGGTAGAAATACCGAGAATGTAAGTGACAGGTAGAAATACCGAGAATGTAAGCGACGGGTAGAAATACCGAGAATGTAATTGACAGGTAGAAATACCGAGAATGTCACTGACAGGTTTAAATACTGAGAAGGTTGGTGACAGGTAGAAATACTGAGAAGGTCGACGACAGGTTTAAATACTGAGAATGTAAGTGACAGGTAGAAATACTGAGAAGGTCACTGACAGGTAGAAATACTGAGAAGGTCACTGACAGGTAGAAATACTGAGAAGGTTGGTGACAGGTAGAAATACTGAGAAGGTTGGTGATAGGTAGAAACACCCGAGAATGTCAGTGACAGGTAGAAATACCGAGAATGTAACTAAAGGTAGAAATACCGAGAATGTGAGTGACAGGTAGAAATACCGAGAAGGTCACTGACAGGATTAAATACTGAGAAGGTTAGTGACAGGTAGAAATACCGAGAATGTAAGCGACGGGTAGAAAAACCGAGAATGTAATTGACAGGTAGAAATACCGAGAAGGTCACTGACAGGTTTAAATACTGAGAAGGTCGACGACATGTAGAAATACTGAGAAGGTTGGTGACAGGTAGAAATATCGAGAATGTCAGTGACAGGTAGAAATACGGAGAAGGTCGACGACAGGTAGAAATACTGAGAAGGTTACTGACAGGTAGAAATACTGAGAAGGTTGGTGACAGGTAGAAATACCGAGAAGGTCACTGACAGGTAGAAATACTGAGAAAGGTTGGTGACAGGTAGAAATACTGATAAGGTTGGTGACAGGTAGAAATACTGAAGGCTGGCGATAGGTAAAAATAATGATAAGGTTGGTCATGTGTAGAAATACTGAAGAGGTCGGTGATAGGTAGAAATAGTGAAGTCAGAGACAGGTGTATGGTATACATTCTTGGATTACATCTGTTACATATGGGGAAAGGGTACATATCCCGTTGCAACGGGTACAGGCTGGGACCAACTCCTGGTGGTTCCATAAACTATAATTCACCGGTACCAGGCAGGTTGCACATTTCTGTTTGCCAGAATCTGTTCAAGTTACTCGGGCTTTTCTTATGTCATTATATCATTTCTCTTTAGGTTGTTGTTGGAGATATCTCGGAAAGACAAGAATTGCGGCGGAGCCTAAACTGCCAAGACTTTGAGTGGTACTTAAATAATGTGCTGCCGGAACTACCAGTGCCCACAGACTGTCTGACTGTAGGAGAGGTACGAGTGTCCATCTGTATTCTCGCTGTAGTTGGCCAGTGAAGTAAGTTTCAGTCCGTTCTGCAGCCGGTGGGGCTGCACAGACGTGGTTGAAGCTTGAAAATGGTGGTGGACAAAATGGGAGGTGCTCCTTTTCTAATGATCCAAGTGGACAAACGAGCAAGCTACGAGAGTTCATTTGCATGATATCATTTTCATTACTGACATTATTTATTGTCAAACACTGTGACCAACACCGGGCGCTTACTGTAATGGCTGTTCAGCATTGAATAAGAAGCTGTGTTATTCCAGGTTATTTTAATTTTTAGATTCGGAACGCTGCCTACAATAACTGTATAGACTCGATGGGGCGGCACTCCCTGCTGCCGGACATGTTTACATGCACGGGCAAGGGTTACAATCAGGTAGGATCATTATGCACCATATGCCTTTACAGTACACACTTAGTCGGGGTGTAACTGGGAGTAAAGTATTATCATGACTTAGTTCAAGGTTACTCTTACTGTAGCTTAACAACGATAACCCGTGAGGTGGTTCTGTCCTGCGATGTTCATCAGTAGAGTTCGGCGTGGTGGATGCTGGCAGGTGGTGGTCAGTTCTTCCCGTCAGATGGATGTGTCCAATCAATAAGACAACTGATGCTTCTGTTCACTTTCTTACTCTAGGCAGCTTATTCAATGATACATCTACATGGTTACCATTCCATTTGGTTGTCGTGTACTGACTATATATTGTTTGTGTATGCGAAATGGCATTGATTTACTATGTGTCTACATAGGTTGGTATATAATGACTGTAGCCCGTCACTATGTATTCCTTTGACTCTGTGTTGTAGCTTTGTCCAGAAACACATTCCATCAAACTAAATATTATTTAATTAGCTTATTATAACCCTTTGCTATCACACCTAAACCCATGGTGACCAGGGCTAGAATGTATCCCCAGCACCCCATTCCTAGGCTTAAGATGCGACTACAATTGGGCAGCCATGAGGATTCCGTGTTAGAACTGGTCCGTAGAAAGAAACCAAGAGGCAACATCAGGTGGTTAGGTTCGGTGACATGGTTGATTGTGTCAACGTATCACAACGACAAGTATCATTGCTCAGTAATATCAATAACTGGATTGTCTGGTTTACACTCCATCATTTAAAGGCCACCTTCATATAGTTTTATATTGAATATTGCTTGACTGCGAAATTAACACACATGGTCACACACACACAATTATCACACCTGAACATTTCAATAATAATAATATTATCTGCATCTGTCACTACCTTCAGTTTTGGTGCATGCGTGACAATGGGCAGATCTGGAACTACCATCAACACCTATACGTCAAGGACGGTAATGTCTCATTAAACCTTCGACAGGGATCAAGCTGGACCTACACTCAGGTAGACACTTGCCACAGACAGTCGTTTATATGTAACGAGCACGAGCGAATATTGAAAGATTGATAGCACATTTGTCAATAACCTTGTATTTGTTTCTAATTGCCACAGATTGAAATGAAATCACACTTTTCCTAGAGAGTCGACACTCATTCCTTCTTCGACGTGTTTCAGAACGGACAGTTACATGAAAAAATCAGTGGACTATGTCTCCAGGCAGGCAAGAAGACTCTCACCATACAACCTTGTTCAGGGGAGACGTCCCAGGTGTGGACGCTCACAGCACGTCCTCCTAACCAACGCCATTGACAACATTAAGTTGGCAGGGCAGAGGTCAATCCAAACATAGCTCACTCATCCCTGCTGGAGTGACTTTTGGGAGTGAGACAAACAACTACTGCAAAATTACATTCACTGACTTCTTCAGCTTCGAATTCAGTCCTGTGGTGCAGTGTTGTGGCTAGCTGTTGACATACACTAAAAGTGGGATTTATATTTACGTAAGAGATACATAGTACATGGTTGATTTGTTAATTTGCAAATCTTCCACAATTATGTTGATATAGCAATAAGTGATCAAAATTACAAACACCTGTGTGGCGGTTGAGGTTTGTTTGTTTGTTTGTAGTTGTTGTCGTTGTTGTTGTTGTTAACCGCCGCACTCAGCAATATTCCAGCTATATGACGGCGGTCTGTAAATATACTAGTATGGACCAGGCAATCCAGTGATTGACGTCATGAAAATTGATCCACGCAATTGAGATCGATGACATGCATCGACCAAAAGCATAGTCGCCTTTTACGGCAAGCATGGATTGCTGACCTATTCTACAAATAGAATCCACAAATAGAAAAAGTAACACAATATGGTAACACAAGCTGCAGCTGTTGCAATGCTGTCCGTAATTGTGGACTCTGAGGGAAGAAATGCGTAATTTGAAAACACAAAGTCAACTTAAGTTATAACTGAATTAGAAATGAAAAAAATGGTCGTAATAGTCTAGTGTCACCAGGGAGGACATGATTACAAGTAGGCTGACCTGAAGCTATGTTCAACGAAAATCAAGTTGAGCACACACTTGTGATTGGTATTGTTAAGAAAATATATGGTTCAAACAGTCATGAAAATCTGAGTTATAAAACATATCCCAGTGACAACTTGATAAAATATTGTAACACTGACAACGTTATTTATATGCTTTTGCCATTCTGCCAACTGTCCAGAGTGTGTGGCGAGAGTTTAATATAGTCCTTAAAAGACGAGGACGACCAAAAGCCAATTGAGCAAATGTCACAGCAGCCAGTGAAGCACCACCCTTCTTAAAGCTTTGGAAGGAGTATGATTGAGAGTTCAGGCCACATTTTGCAGAATGCTGCTGAACGTTCTGTTCAATTCATGGCGGGACCGAGAGGTTAATTGCCCCTTGTATCATTGAAGGAAGGCTGGATGAGATAAGATGACATGATTAGGAAGAGTACACATACTGTACCCTGCGGAGAGATAAAACACATCTCAATATTCTTTAAATAAAAAACATTCAGTCTCAATGTGGTTGACATAAAATCAGCCTCGATAAAAGGTCACGATCGCAATATAGCCATCCTCATCAATACAGAACAGTTGATGAACCATTATCTTTGACATAGAGACATGAGCTTATTGACACTTATTGAAAAATACTCATTTCATCTTCCATTTCAAGAAGCCATATCATGCAAGTCACTGGGTTGTATCACTCGGACAGGTTATTGACTCCACTTGTCCAGCTGTGACATGACTGAAACAGTTGTTGACTGTATGTGAAATGCCCAGGAAACATCACATACTTGGGAAGTAATATAACATAAGAAAATACAATATAAACAATGTCAGTTGTCAGCTGAAATGCCCTCGACATCTTGAACGCAACAACGTGACCTTCGTACTCGTCGGCAGTAGACACAAACTCTTCCATTTACTCTGAAAAGCTTGAATCTGTCCTCTCCCGTGAACATGTCAACAGTTTCTGTGCCAGCATCGTTGCAGTGTTCGGTTGTCAGCTCTGATATTATACAAACGCAGTCTTCTGGACCGCGATAAAACGATTCCTCAGACTGAAGATACGTATGTAAGGTTTTCCCGGGTAGTCGTAAGGACAGGAGGTCTGCCCTCCTAGGCTTGTCTCTCGTTTGCTAAGTCTGCATGTAACAAGCAATCCGTCCAGTGAATGTCATTCGGCTACAGCCCAAACTCCTGGAGACGTGGTCATGCGTTGTCCCTTGGTGTGTCAAAATAACGGCATGTTCTCTCTGTTGTTCTCATTGGTCTTTTATCAGTTAAAATGCTTTATTAAACTGTCATTTCCATAATTCACTCTTAAAAATCACCTACATCTGTACAGCTATCATCTTTTAGTAAACGGTGCGAAAATTATAACCTTCTTTCCATAGGTTGAATTTTAAATGACACGTAAATAGAAATTTTATCTCTCTTGTACACAAAACAAAAGTGAAGAAAAACAACATGACTCTACCAAGAAAAATACGAGATATTTTGAGAATAAGGAACGAGCTACGACGAACTACAGTTTATTTTTCCTGTGGAAATTAATGTTATAGACACCGAGTAAGCGAGTGAGGGAAAGATAAACCGTAATTCCGGGTTCCAAGTTGGTTATAATATTTCTTTCCCATAATCAAATTTCCTGCAAACGTCTCTAGATACCATCTCTAACCAGCTAGCGGCTGCAACCCAAAATAAATGTATCCCTATGCAGCAGTAAACAAGAAACCTTTTCATGTCGGATTGTGTGACATAGCTCGCTATTGCCATTCAAATGTAGCATATTTGTATCACTTACACTTGTACAAAAACAACATACAAAATGACAGAAACGTGTTTTTGAATTTTAATTCATCAACTTTAACAAATGCATGTCAACAATCATAAGTCAACATCGGCGAGTGTAGGAAAGTCAGTTGACGTGGGACACACATGTTGATGTAACGTTGGAGCGGCACAGAAAGCCAATTTTAATGTTTTCAAACATGAACAAATTGATGCTCGATATGCATACCACAATGGATGGATATAGAGTATTTATAAAGTTGCAGTTATTTATTCGGAATCACAATCCAGAATTATGTGACGTCGCATTCTGTTCCCAAGGGCAGAGAATACTTAATATCCTATAATACATACTTACGGCTTCCCCTATGGGTAAAAAGTTGCATTTATTCCTTTTCAAATATATTTCAAGAATAATAGTAGGTTCCATCCAAGAACATCAACAGAGGGTGTCACGGATGTGTATGCAGATCAACAGTGTGGCCAACTGCTGCCAGATGACCTGGGTTCTGTCCAATAAGCCACCGCAGCACTACTACAGGCGTGGGTCTATGTTAGAAGTTGGAATAAAGGATAAGATACGAATATGTTTTTTTATGATGACATTTTGAAAGCAAAACAATGAACAAGACAAACATTAATCAGCTAAATCCATGTTAAACATGACATGAAGTAGTTTACCCTATTATCTCTTGCCATCACATACGGTGATTACCCAATACTTCCACCGACCATACATCATCCATTACCTCTACAGGTGTAGAGGTGAGTGGTGGCTGTTGTGGCTACATTACACTATGTGTGGAATGTGTACCTGCCCACATTTGACATACAATATATGCTTGTAGTATTTGAGGTCAACACTAGGATTTATCATAAATCATACCAAATTTGAAGCAGTTTTTTTGTAGAACGAAGCATGATCTGCTGCATGAAAGATTCCTATTAAATTGTTTATTCTTTCTTCTTGTTTTATGTTTTATCATGTCATGTCATCAATAAAATGAATCAAGTTCACACACAGCTGTTCCTTGTATTTGACATCTTCGACAATAAACTCTTCGCTAATGCAGCACAGATCATGACAATACATATCATGGCAACTAGAAGAGCAAAGCAGATCTGTTATATAATGTCTATTATACATATACTGTAATCTCTGCCTAGTTGTGTCCATACAAAGGACAACGGCGTCTTGAAACATCCCCATGAGTATTGTCCTATGTCCTCCTTCAAGGACAGTAGTTTCCTGTGGCCCCTCGGACAGCCCTCGTCAATGCCCCCGTGCGTGTGTGTGTGTGTGTGTGTGTGTGTGTGTGAGAGAGAGAGAGAGAGAGAGAGAGTGAGAGAGAGAGAGAGAGAGAGAGAGAGAGAGAGAGAGAGAGAGAGAGAGAGAGAGTTGTGTTGTGTTGTGTTGTAACTGCCGTAGCTGTAGCCTGCTGTGGAATGCTGGAGAGGGTACTGATTACCGCTGCTTGGATACCGTTTCCGTGATGCCAATGGCAACTGAGACTGACCGCCACTCATCTTCCTGCGCTGTTGCTGATGCTGCTGATGCAGAATGGGCAACCCTCCCTCCTTAGCCAGTTTCTGAACTGCAGACAAGTGACATTTTGTACTAACTGGAGATCCTCAAACACTGCAAAGAAATCCACAACACTGTGAAATGGATGTATGTGGCATTGAGATGGAAATAGAACAATAATCTAACCTGTCCTGAATATGGCATTGTCCTTCCTGTTATTATTGTTACAATGAATGTTACATTCATTTGGAATTTCAAAAATGATGCAAAGAAAAGAAGGGTCCTTGTGATCATTTGCGAGTAAAATTTTGACTTGTGTATGATAAATGTTCAATATCCATTTCTTTAATGTTCCACTTTTTGTCAAAGAAATATATATTGCATGATTGAAAATAACTATTTAAGTATGAAAAATATATTTTTACTTAATCATTTTTAATTTTGTGTTTATGAGAAACATAGATCTTTTTACTTCTTAAATCATATATATATACTGTTACAATAAAATTCATTATGTACTCATGGAAAATATTTGAATGGTATCAAGATGAAATAAATTCCAATCGTGTGAATTTTCTCCTACCTCCAGCTGCATAGGGTATGTCATCGACTGTGCATATGAACACTTTCTCCTACCTCCAGCTGCATAGGGTATGTCATCGGCTGTGCATATCAACACTTTCTCCTACCCTTTAGCTGCATAGGGTATGTCATCGGCTGTGCATATCAACACTTTCTCCTACCCTTTAGCTGCATAGGGTATGTCATCGGCTGTGCATATCAACACTTTCTCCTACCCTTTAGCTGCATAGGGTATGTCATCGGCTGTGCATATCAACACTTTCTCCTACCCCTTAGCTGCATAGGGTATGTCATCGGCTGTGCATATCAACACTTTCTCCTACCTCCAGCTGCATAGGGTATGTCATCGGCTGTGCATATCAACACTTTCTCCTA